TAATTAATTTGTAAAAATTTGAAATAACATAATTCCACTTTGACATTATGGGGAAGTGTAGGCCAGTGACACAAAATCTGAATGTAATCAATTTTAAATTCAGGCTGTAACACAACAAAATGTGGAAAATGTCAAGGGGTGTGAATACTTTCTGAAATAATTGTACCTAGATCACCTATTGAGATGTGCCTCTTGTTAAGTAAATCAGGTGTTAAATGAGGTGAAAATGAGACTGGAGGGCCACTTTAAGAAGATAAATTGTAGAAATAGGCGGGGTTTAGACATAACTATGACTTTATGGCTGTGTTAACTAGTGACTACCCTAAAACTGGCAAGAGGATCCCCGTCATCTGAGCCATGTTGGGCTTTCATTGGGAACCTATCTAATGCCATGGGACTAGGTGTAGCAGGACACTGAACTTATCTGACCATAGTTCTGAAGAATAGGCCTGCCAAGATGATGTATGGTCTATCGTGTGGACTATGCAACATGTATGTGGTGTTTGTCTTGTATACCAGGGTTAACCACTGTAACACTTCTGCATATTGTGCATTGTGTTTGGTTGTGTTGTGTACAGCTTGTGTGAGGAGTGTGTGGGTGTGTGTCCCAAATGGCACCCTATTCCCTATATAGTGCACTACGGTCAAAAGTAATGCACTTTATTATAGGGAAAAGGGTGCCATTTCTGTGTGTTGACAGGAGGACGATGTGCTGAATGAAACACTCGGAGCTGAGAGGAAGAAGGAATTAAGATATATCTCCAACAGCCCCTTCGCTCTCCACAAACCTCAAATTATAAAGTGTGTTATGCCCATGTTATTGAGGACGCTGTCACCATAGCAGCAGCGGAATGGAGAGCAAGGGAGGGAGGAGAAACAATATGTCCCAAATGGCACCTTATTCCCTATACTGTATAGAAGTAGTGCACTATAAAGGGAATAGGGTGCCTTTTGAAAAGCATCCACAACATTGTGTTTGATTGTGTTATGTTTCCAATTATTGATTTACGATCAGAATCAGAAATAGAATACTGCTGCTTCGTAAGAATGGTCGACAGCGGAATGCTGAGAATTATTTATTGATATATTAATTGGACATTTTGATAACAGGATTAAAACCCTTGAGATGAGAGAGAGAGGAATTCATAGCAGTACGGCAGACACAGAGAGAAACTGAGACAGACAGAGATAGACTGAGAGAAGGTGAGACAGACAGAATGACAGAGACAGACTGAGACAGACAGAGATAGACTGAGAGAAGGTGAGACAGACAGAGATAGACTGAGAGAAACTGAGACAGACAGAGATAGACTGAGAGAAACTGAGACAGACAGAGATAGACTGAGAGAAACTGAGACAGACAGAGATAGACTGAGAGAAGGTGAGACAGACAGAATGACAGAGACAGACTGAGAGAGACAGCGAGAGGGAGAGACTGAGGGAGACAGAGAGAGGGAGAGACTGAGAGAGACAAAGAGAGGAAGAGACTGCCAGACTGAGACAGACAGAGAAAGAGGCTGACTGAGAGAGACAGAGAGAGGGAGAGAGGGAGAGAGGGAGAGAGGGAGAGAGAAAGAGAGAGTGTGAGGGAGAGACTGAGAGAGACAGAGAGAGGGAGAGACTGAGATTGAGACAGACTGAGGTTGAGACAGTCTGAGACAGACTGAGACAGACAGCGTAAGACAGACTGAGACAGACAGAGAACGATACTGAGACAGAGAGAAATTAAGACAGAGACAGAGACAGAGACAGGGAGGGACATACAGACCAACAGAGAGATACTGAGATAAAAAGAGTCAGAAACACTGAGACAAAGTGAGAGAGACTGGGACTTATGGGCCCTGGTCAGAAGTAGTGCACTATATAGGGAATAGGGTGAGAAGTAGTGCACTATATAGAGGACAGGGTGCCATTTGGGATGCAGACACAGTCTTGGGATGCAGACACAGTCTTGGCCATGTGCTCCATAAACATCTCTGTTTGAGCAGCCAGACCAGGCAGCATGTAATCTAGAGGCTGTATGTATTCACAGCTGGACAAACACAAATGGACAGGACACCCACCCATACAGGCCTCAGGATGGTAACCTACATGACAATGGCACCCAATGGTACCTACGTGACAATGAGCTTGGCGTTATCACGTCAACACACACACACGTGCGCGCGCATGCAAAGACAGACAGACAGTCAGGCAGACAGACAGGCTAGTACAGGCAGACAGACAGACAGGGTGAAAGGCACACAAAAAAAAACACAGACGAAAAGAAAACAAAAAAGGAATATGCCAAGTAATAAGAAAACTAATCTTAGCTGCAGACATTTTCTTGCTATTCTGGGGGTGTTTTCTTACGCTGTGCTTGTTTTTCATAATGCAGTCTCAACACTTTTTCTGCTTCTCTGGTGGAAATCGGACAATGGTCAATACTGATTGCTTTATTTTTTCAGTGTTGTACGCCTCTCGCGTTTGTTATTGCAGGACAGGAGGGTATGCAGGAGCGCGGAGGCTGCTGAGACGGCACAATCCCACCATTTCTGTCTAATAATTTGAAATCCTGTGAGGTGTGTGTGTGTGTGTGTGTGTGTGTGTGTGTGTGTGTGTGTGTGTGTGTGTGTGTGTGTGTGTGTGTGTGCTTGTGTGTGTGTGTGTGTAAGGTGAGTGAGTCGACCCCCAGGTGGGATAAAGAGAGACTGAGGTATACTGCGCAGTCTGCCCTCCATGTGCTCAAGGAGGTGCACTCTCTCTGTGGTCTATCTGTGTACTGATGTGTGCTTGACATGCTGAGAGGGATGGAGGCAGAGACATGGACCAGTGGAGATATATTCTATGTTCCAGAACTCAGCAGGTTCCACAACCCAGAACAGTAAAACAATACCTCCCTCTGTGGCTGCACCCCCCACAGCTCTCTCTCTCACACACACACACACACACACACACACACACACACACACACAAATGACTATGTTTAAGTGTGTTGAGAAATGAATCCACCTACAAACCTGCCCAAAAGAATGCAGACTTGGGCAGTGTCTTCAGTATGTGGGGGGCACCACCCGTGGAGCGCTGTGCTGTGGAGCCATGGGGAAGTGGCTATCCATGTGGTGGAGAAGTTAGGGTTGTGTCCCAAATTGTCCCAAATTGCACACTATTCCCTATAGTGCACTACTTCTGACAAGGGCCTCGTATCCCAGAGCCTTCGTAGCGTTAATGTAGTCCTTAAAACCATCTTTAGTAGCCGAGGTGTTTCCCAGAGACTTCGTTAGTAAAGTGGCTCTTAAAAACCTTCAGACATCTACGAGTGATCCAGACCACTTGTAGAGCAGCCAAAGTGGAATATGTATTTGTAAATAAATGCCAGGTTTTATCCCAAGCTGAATCTTTCCGGTACAAATTGGAAACACCTGGAACACTATAAAACCCAAGCCATTGTCAGAGGTCAGCGGAACAACAATAATACAGCATGGCTGCTATTCAGTGGATTGTTGCGCTCCAACATAACAGGCGGCGCTGGCCGCGCAGTCAGTTGGTGTATATTATAAATGCATATTATTCGCAACAACCTGAGCCGAGATACAGACTCACAATGATGGGTCTATCTTTCAAAAATACAGGCTCCCACGAGAGAAGATACTCAGACTGCTCGACCTTTTGTCTCTCTTAATCAGCCGACCAACCCGCTAAAACTTTGCGTTGAGTGCTGGGGTGCAGCTTCTAACAGCCTTGCACTTTTACGCAGTGGGGAGTTTCCTTCAGGTCCTTGTGGATGGACACGGCCTTATAATCGTTTTTTTTTTTTTTATGTAAAAACGAAATATGTGCTGTAGAGGGTTGGTTACTGTATATATTTGTGTGCTAAAATGGACAAATATATTGTGGTGCAGTGTGCTAAAGCACTGTGGAATAAAGAAGACGACTGGTGTTCAAATCTTGAAATCAATGAACATTACATGACGAAAATGGTTAGTTTGTAGATTATGGTGTTATTTATTTTCATTCATAAAAACTAGTCTGCGAAATGCATAGGGCATGAAATGTGGGCTATTAGTCGTGTTTTCTTATGACGCAAGTGGCATCGATTTCAGCATCATGTGAAAAAACGAACACTCCCCCAACGACGCTGTTAGCTGTCGCACTTACAGGTTCGCTCGACGTGCTTCTTTGGGAAACACTCTTAACAAGTTAGCTCGTAAATAACGATGCATCTGGAATGATCATCGTAATGCTTAAATTATATCGCAACTGGGAAACGAGGCCCAGAGCCTTATGGGCTCGAGTCAAAAGTAGTGCACAATATAGCAAATAGGGTGCCATTTGAGACGTACTATGGGAGATGGAGGAAAAGAGCCACTGTTCAAAATTGCCAGCAGGAAAAACACTGGTATAGCCAAGGGAAACTGATTCAGACCGTATCTATTGTGCTGTATATGTGAAAAATTCTAACCGTATGGAGCTGGTGTCCCAACCTGGATTAAGTTTAGTCCTGGACCAAAAACACTTTCAAAGGAAAATGTAGCATACGTTTTGGTCCAGGACTAGGCATAATCTGTGTCAGGGAAACTGGTCCTATATGTTTCACATTTTACTTGGCTCCTAACTCTAAATTAAAGAAGAGTATTACCTGCTTTAATCAATGAAAATACAAGAAAATAGTAGGTCTATATATTAAACATTTTATACAAAGTGATAGTTAGACAATAAATACTGTATGTTCATCGAATAAGCCTAATCCACCTGTGAATCGGTTGTAAACCGTTATTAATGTCATTCTCAAGCCTGTGTCGTCAACGTCCGCGGTCCCTCGGGATCGGGGCTCTCCGTTTACATTATTCATACGGAGGGTGTGACTTGTTGGCTCTTTTTCCCGCCTGTATAAAACGACAAGTTCGCTTAAAAGAAAATACAGATGGAGAAGTCTAGTCTGCTCGCTGTGACACAGAGAGTCCCCTTAAGCCTACGTGACAACTCGCATACTGTCCCTTTGTGACCAGTTTATCGGCAGAATGCCCGGTCTATGCGTGCTTTGTCTCACTGCCGTGCTCGCTGCATTCACCCGGTTCGCGGAGACCGTGGGGCCGGTGGTCCGATGTGAGCCGTGTGACGCCGGGGCTCTCATGCAGTGCAAGCCGCTGCCAAAAGACTGCGCAGAGATAGTGCGGGAGCCCGGCTGCGGGTGCTGTCTGTCGTGCGCCCTTGCTGAGGGTCAGGCGTGTGGAGTGTACACTGGGCGCTGTGGCTCCGGGCTGACTTGTCAGTACCAACCGGGGGAGACCCGACCACTGCAAGCCTTGCTAGAGGGACGGGGAGCTTGCTCCAGCGCCGCGTCCAAAAAACTCAGCACCATTCTGCTCCCCGCGCAGAAACAAGGTAAGCGCCTCATGGTTCTAAATATCGCTCTTTCTGTGAAGGTACTGAGCTGGGTTGGTCTGTTTCTGTTAGAGAACCCCTGTAGTCTTAGGGCTATAGCCTGCGGGTTGGTGTTGGTGCGTAGGCTATAGCAGGACACTTCTTTCCATAGGCTACTGACTCGTGCCCGATGCCATGCAAACATTTGCGCACGTTATGGGTTACTTAGGCTATGCCTACTCATTAAATATTGATGTGAGTTAATTTGTGGCAATCGGTAATATCTAGCCACTCAGCGGACTGTGGCTGCCTTGTGGCCGGCTCTCCATGAGTACCGGACGGTATGCCTCCCTCTAAGGGTCCGGTGCCCAATACAAATAGCAACGCTGGCCCTGCGGCGGTTCAGAGAGGATTCACGCTGAATAAGATTATGTGCATTACAGTGCATGTAAGGGGTTAATAAAATGTTGGGTACTGTAAATGAGTGCCATTAGTATCGAATCAGTTTTTTCTTATTTGTAGTGTGAGGTTTAAGTATATAGCCAATGTGTAAATACGTTTTGCGCACGCGTAACCTATTGCCAACATAGCCATGGCGCACAGTATATATGGGCCATACAGTAATTAAACAAAACAAAAAAATGCATTGAAATACATAATGGTTGTGACCTTTCTTTAGTTGAACAATTTATATACTCTGTCATTGGGTGTGAAATGCACCATTGGGATTGAACGGAACCTGCGCAACTATTTTAGCCCGTGGCATTCCCTCAATTCTGCCACTCGGCTCGCTAAGGCGCGCGCCACCATATGTCAGATACACACTGTAGTCGTTGTTCTTTTGAGGACGACATACTGACTCTCAATACCATATACTGTGTGCTCTCTTGCGCTCTGCACACACGCATGTACGCACACGCACACGCACACACACACACACACACACACACACACACACACACATACATCTGGCTGCCCAACCCAATCGTTAGTGAATGCCACAAATGTGTATATTTTGCTGAAGCAGATGTGCAAAGATGAGCGTTTTGTGAATGACGACTTTGTTATGTCCATAGGCCTACTCTCCTTTCCCAAACGCGCAGCTTTGACATCGGGACACGCAGCATGCAAATACCCGTGGTTTTAGAGGTGGCCTGTCCCTGTTTTGAGCCAGAACTTTGCTGGGAGGGGAGAGCGGAGAAGGAGAGAAGGAATCTGGTGAAGTGCACATCTCCCGCTGTCTGTCTGCACGCAGTTATTAGCAACACAACACCGAGGTGGGAACCGGGGAGGGACGACGGGTGCGCGAGCTGTGTGAGAACTACACCGGAGTGGAAATAAACCCGCCTGCAGGACCTGACACACACACGCACGCACATGCGCGCGCACACACTAATATGGACTTGGCATACATTTCACATCCATGTGAACCCATACTTCCTCCACCTTGCATTATCACGAGGAAAGAGGGGAAGGCACTGTTTCACTCTGCCCCCTGTGGTGTTGTTGTGTGTTTAGTGGGGCTGTGTCAGCCCACCAGGCGTTGGTGTGTGTTTTCTCCTCCTAGTAATTTGGCTTGGCCACAGTGGTGTGTGCTGAAGCAGTCCACTGTCACATTGGCACACACAAAGGCTATTGTTAGCAAGGTCTGTGACTTTTAAACAGCAGTCTGGCCTGCAGGCTGCTTCACTCTGCTCTGCTACTTACTTCATCATCATCCACTTCACTTGTCACCCTATTCCCTATATTACATGTTTACATTTTAGTCATTTAGCAGACGCTCTTATCCAGAGCGATTTACAGCGAGTGAGTGCATACATTTTCATACTGCCCCCCCGTGGGAATCGAACCCACAACCCTGGCATTGCAAACGCCGTGCTCTACCAACTGAGCTACACGGAGCCTATATAGTGCACTATGGTCAAAAGTAGTGCACTATGTACACTGTAAAACATTTCCTGTTGTTTTTACAGTAACTTAGAGGCAGCCAGTCTCCTGTAAGTCACCAAAAGGTACAGTATGTTACTATACCGTATTTTACAGTATCCAATACTGTTCCTGTAATCTTTTTTACTATTGTTTTTATGGCAACTAACAGGCAACTGTCTACCTGTAAGTTACAGTAAAACAACAGTACAGTGAGTTACTGTAATCTTTTTATGGTAATTGTAATGGATGAATTAATGGATGAATGAATGAAATTCATTGAGGGGAGATGGGGTTTGCATTTTACAGTATTTTACCGTAATTGCATGGGATTGGTGCAAGCAGGTTGGCTGCTAATGTGTTTACATATGACATCATATCAATGAATGCCAGTTTGGAAGCCTTTGTCAAGGCCTCTAGAAGTACAAGTGATATAAAATACCACATTTTGAACTTTTATATCACTTGGACGTCTAGAGGCCTTAATAAAGGCTTCCAAACTGGCAGCAAATACAGGGCAAAACAGACCAAAGGACATGGCAAGTACTCAACCATTAAAGGTTTGCAACTTGCTGCCACACCAATCCGTCCTCTATACACATTTAATTGATGTGGCAATACTACACCTCATACTCACATACAAGGCACGACTCAAAATATGTTAATGAGTCAAAAACAACAATACCGTGCACCCACTAGTGCTCAAAAGGTTTGTGGCACTCCAAAAATACTGCACTGTATTCTGTGGGGTGGAATTACAGTACCATTCGAAATACAGCAATTATTTCCCTGCCCACAACATTTTCCCACAATGCACCATAATTTACAGCATGCTGCAGTATAATGCTTTACAGTATTTTATTGTTGATAAATGTACACATTTACGGTATAAATCACAGTTTTCCATTACAATGTAATATTCTTTACAATTAATTTGATAAATCATAAAAATATTATACACACCTTGTTTGGTTGGTTCACTTTAGACCTTGATGTCTCTCAATTCGATTACTCAGAAGTGTTTGAAAACATTGCCAGTTGCCAATCCCACAATGCTGTCCAGTGTTGACTGCTAGCTATAGCCCATTGTCCTTCACAATAACAATTACAGACCAAACTGACCCTAGAACAGCCTCTAGGCCACTGTACCTGCCTCTATCACACTGTTGTGCTCTGTGTTTAGAGTTGCTGAGATGCCCTCAAAAGTAGTGCACTATATGGGCAAAAGGTTGCCATTTGGGAGGCATACCAAGAATTTAACAAGGCCTCTCCCTAGCAATTAGCTAGAGAGATAAGAGAGAGAGCAGGAGAGAGCCTAGAGAGATATCGTCTAGAGCCGATCTCAGAGAGAGAGAGAGATCGATTAACTAGCTCTCTCTCTCTCTCTCTCTCTCTCTTCCAACTCTCTCTCTTCACTCACTCTCTCTCTCTCTCTTCTCTCTCTCTCTCTCTCTCTCTCTCTCTCTCTCTCTCTCTCTCTCTCTCTCTCTCTCTCTCGCTCTCTCACCACAGTCAAAGCTGTTTACTCCGCTGCCATTAGACAAAGATTTTGTAAGATGTTTATCAGAAAAAGTAAATTGATGAAATTATAATTTTTTCTCATCAATCTAACAACATCAATAAACCCCCATAATAACAAAGCAAAAACTGGTATAAATGTTTGCAAATGTATTAAAAATTAAACACTGAACTACCCTTTGCTATGATATTCGAAATTGAGCTCAGGTGCATCCTGTTTCCATTGATCCTCCATGAGATGTTTCTACAACTTGATTGGGGTCCACCTGTGGTAAATTCAATTGATTGGACATGATTTGGATAGGCACACACCTGTCTATATAATGTCTCACAGTTGACAGTGCATTGTCAGAGCAAAAACCAAGCCATGAGATCGAAGGAATTGTCCGTAGACCTCCGAGACAGGATTGTGTCGAGGCACAGATCTGGGGAAGGGTACCAAAAAATGTATGCAGCATTGAAGGTCCCCAAGAACACAGTGGCCTCCATCATTCTTAAATGGAAGAAGTTTGGAACCACCAAGACTCTTCTTAGAGCTGGCCGCTCAGCCAAACTGAGCAATTGGGGAAGAAGGGCCTTGGTCAGGGAGGTGACCAAGAACCCAATGGTCACTCTGACAGAGCTCCAGAGTTCCTCTGTGGAGATGGGAGAACCTTCCAGAAGGACAACCATCTCTGCAGTACTCCACCAATCAGGCCTTTATGGTAGAGTGGCCACTCCTCAGTAAAAGGCACATGACAGTCCGCTTGGAGTTTGCCATAGGCACCTAAAGGACTCTCAGACCATGAGAAACAAGATTCTCTGGTCTGATGAAACCAAGATTGAACTCTTTGGCCTGAATACCAAGCATCACATCTGGAGGAAACCTGGCACGCTCCCTACGGTGAAGCATGGTGGTGGCAGCATCATGCTGTGGGATGTTTTTCAGCAGCAGGGACTGGGAGACTAGTCAGGATCGAGGGAAAGATGAACAGAGCAAAGTACAGAGAGATCCTTGATGAAAACTTGCTCCAGAGCGCTCAGGACCTCAGACTGGGTTGAAGGTTCATTTTCCAACAGGACAACGACCCTAAGAACACAGCCAAGACAATGCAGGAGTGGCTTCGGGACAAGTCTCTGAATGTCCTGGAGTGGCCCAGCCAGAGCCCGGATTTGAACCTGATCAAACATCTCTGGAGAGACCTGAAAATAGCAGTGCAGTGACGCTCCCTATCCAATCTGACAGAGCTTGAGAGGATCTGCAGAGATGAATGGGAGAAACTCCCCAAATACAGGTGTGCCAAGCTTGTAGCGTCATACCCGAGAAGACTTGTAAATGTGGATATTTCAGTTTTAGAATAAGGCTGTAAAGTAACAAAATGTGTAAAAATTCAAGGGGTCTGAATACTTTCCGAATGCACTGTAGACTGGGCTCACTCTCCCCTTAGATCCTTTCCACTTATTTCTGGTTTTTAGGAGTTGGTCGAAGTGATTTGTCTGGTTTCGAGGTGAAGGGTGAGGATGGAGCAGCTGTATCTATTCTGCAGCCATTATGTCATTATTGATGTTTATGTTGTTGTGTACATAATGTAGCCCGCCCCTCCCCACCCGCCCCAACCTGCACACCACTCCGCAAGCCAGAATCTGGTTCTACTTAATCCTTATAATATGTGTTTGTGTGTGTGTGTAACTGCGTGTGTGTGTGTTCATGTAAGTGTATGTGTATGTCTGTTTTTTTTGTTTGTGTGTATGTGTGTATGTCTTTGCCAAGACCAGTTGAATGTGTTAAGACCACTGCTGGCCTGATGATCCCAGGTTCAAATCCAGTGTTGTCATTCTTTCCCTGAGTGCCTTCAGATGGCCTGTGTGCTAATGGAATCTTATTCCCCATGGGCCCTGGTCAAAAGCAGTGCACTATATAGGGAATAGAGTGGCTTGCGGAAGTATTCACCCCCCTTGGCATTTTTCCTATTTTGTTGCCTTACAACCTGGAATTAAAATTGATTTCTTGGGGGTTTGTATCATTTGATTTACACAACATGCCTACCACTTTGAAGATGCAAAATATTTTTGGGGGTGAAACAAACAAGAAATAAGACAAAAAAACAGAACTTGAGCGTGCATAACCCCCCCCCCCCCCAAGTCAATACTTTGTAGAGCCACCTTTTGCAGCAATTGCAGCTGCAAGTCTCTTGGGGTGTGTCTCTATAAGCTTGGCACATCTAGTCACTGGGATTTTTGTCCATTCTTCAAGGCAAAACCGCTCCAGCTCCTTCAAGTTGGATTGGTTCGGCTGGTGTACAGCAATCTTTAAGTCATACCACAGATTCTCAATTGGATTGTGGTCTGGGCTTTGACTAGGCCATTCCAAGACATTTAAATGTTTCCCCTTAAACCACTCAAGTGTTGCTTTAGCAGTATGCTTAGGGTCATTGTCCTCCTGGAAGGTGAACCTCTGTCCCAGTCTCAAATCTCTGGAAGACTGAAACAGGTTTTCCTCAAGAATTTCCCTGTATTTAGTGGCATCCATCATTCCTTCAACTCTGACCAGTTTCCCAGTCCCTGCCGATGAAAAACATCTGGTCAGATGAGACTAAAATGTAGCTTTTTGGCCAACAAGGAAAACGCTATGTCTGGCGCAAACCCAACACCTCTCATCACCCCGAGAACACCATCCCCAAATTGAAGCATGGTGGTGGCAGCATCATGCTTCACTGTGGGGATGGTGTTCTCAGGGGGATGAGAGGTGTTAGGTTTGCGCCAGACATAGCGTTTTCCTTGTTGGCCAAAAAGCTCAATTTTTGTCTCATCTGACCAGAGTACCTTCTTCCATATGTCTCCCACATGCCTTTTGGCGTTCACCAAACCTGTTTGCTTATTTTTTTCTTTAAGCAATGGCTTTTTTCTGGCCACTCTTCTGTAAAGCCCAGCTCTGTGGAGTGTGCGGCTTAAAGTGGTCCTATGGACAGATACTCCAATCTCTGCTGTGGAGCTTTGCAGCTCCTTCAGGGTTATCTTTGGTCTCTTTGTTGCCTCTCTGATTAATGCCCTCCTTGCCTATTCCGTGAGTTTTGGTGGGCGACCCTCTCTTGGCAGGTTTGTTGTGGTGCCATATTCTTTCCATTTTTAAATAATGGATTTAATGGTGCTCCGTGGGATGTTTAAAGTTTCGGATATTTTTTTATAACCCAACTCTGATCTGTACTTCTCCACAACTTTGTCAAAGACCTGTTTGGAGAGCTCCTTGGTCTTCATGGTGCCGCTTGCTTGGTGGTTCCCGTTGCTTAGTGGTGTTGCAGACTCTGGGGCCTTTCAGAACAGGTGTATATATACTGAGATCTTGTGGCACTTAGATTGCACACAGGTGGACTTTATTGAACTAATTATGTGACTTCTGAATGTAATTGGTTGCACCAGATCTTATTCAGGGGCTTCATAGCAAAGGGGGTGAATACATATGCACGCACCAGTCTTCCCTTATTTATTTTTTTCATTTCACTTCACCAATTTGGACTATTTTGTGAATGTCCATTACAAAAAAAATCAAAATCAAAATCAATTTAAATTACAGGTTGTAATGCAACAAAATAGGAAAAACACCAAGGGGGATGAATACTTTTGCAAGGCACTGTAGGGTGCCATTTGGGATGTAACCATACTGTCCAGCATAGCACACAGGCTCATGGGGCTCTGGTCAATAGTAGTGCATTAGGCAATAGTAGTTCTGGCTGACCCTGATCATATGGTGGATAGTTCATCCCTTTTCTATATTAGGGAGCGGTGTTTAAACCCCCCTCCTCCCCCCTCCTCTCCCTTCTCCTATCTCACCCTCTGGCCCGGTCAGGTGGTCTAGGCTCTGCTCCGCTCTGTCTTTAACGATTTGTCAGGAATCTTTGCCAGCGACGTGGTCTATAAATATCAGGAGCAAGCGACTGACTTCTCTCTCTCTCTCTCTCTCTCTCTCTCTCTCTCTCTCTCTCCTCGCTCTCGCTCTCGTCTCGCTCTCGATCTTGATCTCTCTCTCTCTGCTCACCCACTCTCTCTGTCTCTCTCTCTCTCTCTCTCTGTGTTTCTCTCTCTGCTCTTCCCTCTCTCTCTGCCCCCTTCCATTGCTCTCCCTCTCTCTCTCCATAACTCTCTCGATCTTACTTTATTTTTCAGTATCACTCTCTCTCTCTCTCTCTCCTCTCTCTCTCTCTCTCTCTCTCCTCTCTCTCTTCTCTCTCTCTCTCTCTCTCTCTCTCTCTCTCTCTCTCTCTCAATCTTGGGACATAGAACAGCTTGCGAGGCACTGGTCTCAGTCTCATTCTCAGGTCATTATAGTGGTTAGGCTATTTCAGATTCGCGAACTCTGGAACTCTGATAGCATCCAAACACACCATAATCTTAGTAAAGATGTTTCTGAAACTAACATAATGGCGTTCCATCTCCTTGCCAATACACAGACCATACTCAATCTAACAATGCACATTCAACCTCAAGCTTTTTGGACTTTTTGGACATTTGAAAACGTTTCTAAACCATGACATCACTTCCTGTTGTTTTGACAGAGAACACAAGCGGGGAGCAGGCCTGGGCGGGGGATGAACGGCTTGCCAACGGCACCGTGATGACGAACACGACGGTGGTGGTGGGCGCGGTAGGTGTGGAAGGCGGAGGTGGTGGACACTGGGGGGCGATAGAGGCCAAACCGCCGCTGCACACCAAGCTGGACGTGATCAAGAAGGAGCAGAATAAGAAGAGGTGGAGCTACAAGGTGGAGTCAGTGTCTGGTGGAGTCAACACCCACATGCACAACTTCTCCCTGGAGAACAAGAGGGAGACCGAGTATGTAAGTAATGACTATGTCTAGCACCATGGATAAAGACACTTAACTAATACCTGCCACCCCTATCTCTCACATACTGTACAAATGACCTTAGCAAACACAGACACACACACGCACGCACGCACGCACACACGGACCCATCCCCTCCCCTCATGTGTTTACTGACACACACACTCACACTCATAGGTCTATCTCGTGGTTTCTTGTATTTTTGTCATGTGTTTGATAATATACATTCACTGATATTTATAGTGTTATTACAGTGATATTGAGATGTTAGTACATTTTTTATACATTTATACTGACATGTATAGTGCTTTTACAGTGATATTGAGATGTAAATACATTTGTAATATATTTATACTGACATATATAGTGTTACTTTTGTTAAACAGAAAAAACAATTGTGTTACTTTTGTACTTTTGTTAAACAGAAAACCCAAACCCATGGCAGCAAATCCACAAGGTCTGCCATGAGAGGTGACTGTATTGTTCCCTTAAGGAAAAGCACCTTTAGTCAATCTGCTTTCTCTGTGAGAGCTTCCCATGTCTGGAACACACTGCCATCAGAAACACACAACTGCACCACATATCGCACCTTCACAAAAAACATAAAGACATGGCTAAAGGCCAATCAGGCTTGTGAACATAATCCCTAGCTGTGTATTGCCGCTTTCCATGTTGTCTGTAGCTTGTGAGGTCTGGAAACACTTTGTTGCTTTGATGTATTTTGTTTTGTTGCTTTTTGTGCTATTGCTCTGTCTACATGCTACGTGTTGCTTGTCCTATGTTGCTCTGTCTACATGCTACGTGTTGCTTGTCCTATGTTTCTCTGTCTGCATGCTAAGTGTTGCTTGTCCTATGTTGCTCTGTCTACATGCTATGTGTTGCTTGTGCTATGTTGCTCTGTCTACATTCATCGTGTTGCTTGTCCTATGTTACTCTGTCTACATGCTACGTGTTGCTTGTCCTATGTTGCTCTGTCTACATGCTACGTGTTGCTTGTGCTATGTTGCTCTGTCTACATTCATCGTGTTGCTTGTCCTATGTTGCTCTGTCTACATGCTACGTGTTGCTTGTCCTATGTTGCTCTGTCTACATGCTACGTGTTGCTTGTCCTATGTTGCTCTGTCTGCATGCTACGTGTTGCTTGTCCTATGTTGCTCTGTCTGCATGCTACGTGTTGCTTGTCCTATGTTGCTCTGTCTACATGCTACGTGTTGCTTGTCATATGTTGCTCTGTCTACATGCTACGTGTTGCTTGTCCTATGTTGCTCTGTCTACATGCTACGTGTTGCTTGTCCTATGTTTCTCTGTCTACATGCTACGTGTTGCTTGTCCTATGTTGCTCTGTCTACATGCTACGTGTTGCTTGTCCTATGTTGCTCTGTCTACATGCTACGTGTTGCTTGTCCTATGTTGCTCTGTCTACATGCTACGTGTTGCTTGTCCTATGTTGCTCTGTCTACATGCTACGTGTTGCTTGTCCTATGTTGCTCTGTCTACATGCTACGTGTTGCTTGTCCTATGCTGCTCTGTCTACATGCTACGTGTTGCTTGTCCTATGTTGCTTTGCATGTGCTCACTGCTCATTGATTGTCTGTATTGTTATTGCAATTGTTTTTAATAATCTGCCCAGGGACTGTGGTTGAACATTTACCGTCTGGCTAAAACCGACACTTTTACTGAAACGTTGATTAATGTGCACTGTCCCTGTTAAAAGAAAATAAACTCAAACTCAACTCAATTTTTACAGGATTTTTGCTGTGTTATTACAGTGTTATTACAGGGTTAGTACTGTGTTACTACGGTGTTAGTACAGCGTTTGTACAGTGTTATTAAAGCGTTATTACAGTGTTATTACAGGGTTAGTATACTGTTATTACAGGGTTAGTACAGTGGTTAGTACAGTTTTATTGAGGTGTTATGTGTTGTGTGTGCAGGGCCCGTGCAGGAGAGAGATGGAAAGTATCCTGAACAGTCTTAAAATCTCCAATGTGCTCAACCCCAGAGGCTTCCGCATCCCCAACTGCGACAAAAAGGGCTTCTACAAGAAAAAACAAGTGAGAACACGCACACACACCTAACAAACCCCATTTCCTGTTCCTAGTGAGTCAGCAGGGTGCAGTTATCTGTAACGTTAGCTGTAATACCAGGTTATTATTGATGTTGATAATGTTGTTGATGTTGCTGTTGTCAAGGCAACTTCAAAGAAGGCCGTGGGGGGCCTGGGCGAGGTTTCTTTCAGAAGCCTATTTAGTGAGTAAGTGACTGTGTGTGTGAGTGTGTGTGTGTGTGTGTGTGTGTGTGTGTGAGTGTGTGTGTGTGTTGGGGGGGGGGGGGTTATATTATAATCCTTGTGGGTACCGTAAATCCCCAAAAGTCTCCACAAGGATAGTAAAACAAGTAAAATTCTCCCTTGTCGGGACATTTCCCAGGTCCCCATGAGGACAAAGGCTATTTTAGGCTTAGTGGTTAGGTTTAAGGTTAGGGTTGCAATTAGGGTTAGAGGTAGAATAAGGGTTAGGGTTAGGGGTTAGGGGTTAAGTTTAGGGTTAGGGGTTAAGGTTTGGGTTATGGTTAAGATTTGGGTTAGAGTTAGGGTAAGGGTTAGGTTTAGGGTTAGGGGTTAGGATTTTGAATGGAAATCAATTCTAGGTCCCCACAAGGATAGTAAAACATATTGTGTGTGTGTGTGTGCGTGCACGTGGTGTGTGTGTGTGTGGTGGGTCAGGAAGGTTTCTGAGTCATGGTGGTGTTAATTTGAAAAACAATTATGACTAATTTTATTTCTCAGAATTGTTTCTGTGAATATAGACTACATGACCAAACGTATGTGGACACCTGCTCTTCAAACGTCTCATTCCAAAATCATGGGCATTAATATGGACTTGGTCCCCCCTTTGCTGATGTAACAGCCTCCACTATTCTGGGAAGGCTTTCCACTAGATGTTGGAACATTGCTGAGGGGACTTGCTTCCATTCAGCCACAAGAGTATTAGTGAGATCAGGCACTGATGTTGGGCGATTAGGCCTGGCTCGCAGTCGGCGTTCCAATTCATCCCAAAGGTGTTCTATGGGGTTGAGGTCAGGGCTCTGTGCAGGCCAGTCAAGTTCTTCCACACCTGTGGTCCTCTGTAGCTCAATTGGTAGAGCATGGCGCTTGTAACGCCAGGGTAGTTTACACCACTCCAGTCGACTCTTGACGCTGCGCATGGTGATCTTAGGCTTGTGTGCGGCTGCTCGGCTATGGAAACCCATTTAATGAAGCGCCCGACGAACAGTTCTTGTGCCGACGTTGCTTCCAGAGGCAGTTTGGAACTCGGTAGTGAGTGTTGCAACCGATGACAGACGATTTTTACGCGCTACGCGCTTCTGCACTCGATGGTCCCGTTCTGTGAGCTTGTGAGGCCTACCACTTCGCGACTGAGCTGTTGTTGCTCCTAGACTTTTCCATTTCACAATAACAGCGCTTACAGTTGACCGGGCAGCTCTAGCAGGGCAGAAAAACTAACTGACTTGTTGGAAAGGTGGCATCCTATGACGGTGCCACGTTCTCTCCTCTCTCTCTCTCCTATCTCTCCCCCCCCCCCCCCCCCCTCTCTCTCTCTCTCTCTCTCAAACACACTCACACACACACACCCATGCAGGGACAATTCATGACTACTAGTACTATGGCATGGTTTCTGTCTGTTAACCTTTGGCCTACTAAGATGTTCTCTTAGAAACATATGTCCCTCAGATGACTGGATGCCAGTTTATATAAACTTATAAGTGTTGTTCCAGCTCCTGCCCCCCTCAGTGTGGGGAGATAGAGTTAGAGGGGTGCAGGGGGAGATAGAGTTAGATGGGTGCAGGGGGAGATAGAGTTAGAGGGGTGCAGGGGGAGATAGAGTTAGAGGGGTGCAGGGGGAGATAGAGTTAGAGGGGGCAGGGGGAGATAGAGTTAGAGGGGTGAGGGGAGAAGATTAGAGGGTTTTCAGGGGGAAATAGATTTAGGGGGCGGGGGGAAGATAGATTAGAGGGGGAGGGGGAGTTTAAGAGTTAGAGGGGTTGCGGGGGGAAAAAATTAGAGGGGGCAAGGGGGAATAAAATTTAAAGAGGGGGGGGCCGGGGGAGAAAATTTAGAGGGTGCCAGGGGGGAAAAATTTAAGGGTGCGGGGGGAGATAGAGTTAGAGGGGTGCAGGGGAGAAACTTTAGAGGGTGCAGGGGGAGTTTTAGTTAGAGGGGTCCAAGGGGGGAAGGGGGAAGGAAAAGGTTAAGGGGTGGGGGGGAAAAGGGGGAACGGGGAGAGGAGGGGGGGCGGGGGAGATAGATTTTTGGGGGGGGGTGCAGGGGGGGGAAGGGTTTAAGGGGTTTTTCGGGGAAAAAGGGGAAAAAGGGGGATAAGTTAGAGGGGTGAAAGGGGGAGTAGATTTAGGGGGGGTTGCAGGGGGAGATAGATTAGAGGGGTGCGGGGGGAAAGATGGGGGTCAGGGGGTTGCAGGGGGAGGGAAACTTTAGGGGGGGCGGGGGGGAGATAGATTAGAGGGGTGGGGGGGAATAGAGTTAGAGGGGGGGGAAGGGGGAGAGAGAGTTAGGGGTGGGGGGGAAGAAAAACTTTAAAGGGTAAAGGGGGGGGAGATAGGGGTTAGAGGGGCAGGGGGAGATAGAGTTGAGGGGGGGAAGGGGGGGAGGAGAGTTAGGGGGGTTTGCGGGGGGAAAGGGGGGGGGAAAAGGGGAGAAAATAGTTTAAGGGGTGAAAGGGGGAGATAAAATTGAGGGGTGCAGGGGGAGATAGGGGGTTAGGGGGTCCCGGGGGAGATAGATTTAAATTTGGGGGGGGGGAAAAAGGGGAGATAGAGTTAGAAGGGGTGCAGGGGGAGTTTGAGTAGAGGGGTGCAGGGAGAGTTAGTTGAGGGGTGCAAAGGGGGAAAAGATTTTTAGAGGGGGGGGCCGGGGGGAATTTTTTAAGGGGGGTCCCGGGGGAGATAGAGTTGGGGGGGGTTTGAAAGGGGGGGGAGAAAATTTTCGGGGAGGGGGGGGTTCAGGGGGGATAGAGTTAGAGGGGTTTCAGGGGGGGAAAAATTTTAAAGGGGGTTTAGGGGAGATAGAGTTAGAGGGGGCGGGGGAGAGAACGTTTAGAGGGTGCGGGGGGGGAGATAGAGTTAGGGGGGTTTCCCAAGGGGGAGATAGAGTTAGGGGGGTTTAAAGGGGGAGAGAACTTTAGGGGGTGCGGGGGGAATAGATTTTAGAGGGTGGGGGGGGAGAAATTTAAAAAGGGGTCCCGGGGGAAGGGGGGGAAAGGGGGAAAGGTGATTTAAAGAGGGGGCGGGGGGAGATAAGTTAGAGGGGAAAAGGGGGGGGATAGAGTTAGGGGGGTGCGGGGGGGAGAAGAGTTAGAGGGGGCAGGGGGAGATAGAGCCCGGGGGGGTTTCAGGGGGAGATGATTTAGGGGGGTTCCCGGGGAGATAGATTTAGGGGGGTTGCAGGGGAGGAACGTTAAAAGGGGTGCAGGGAGATAGGTTAAGGGGTGAAAAGGGGGGGTTTAAGTTAGAGGGGTGGGGGGGAGAGAAAAGTTGGGGGGGGGTTGAAAAGGGGGAGAGAGCTTTAGAGGGGTGCGGGGGGAAAAGGGGGAAGGGGAGATATAGTTGGGAGGGGTGAAAAGGGGGAGATAGATTTAGGGGTTGCGGGGGAGTGGGTTTGGGAGGGGTGCAGGGGAGAAGATTTAAGGGGGGTTTTAAAGGGGGGGAATAGGGGAAAGGGGGGGTCCCGGGAGAAAGGGGTTTAGGGGGTGCGGGGAAAATTGAGGTATTTAGGGGCAGGGGAGAATGAGGGTTTTTAGGGGGGGGGTTTTAGGGGTTTACGGGGAGTTTAATTTTTGGGGTTTAATGGGGTTTCCGGGGGGAGGATAAGGGGGGGGGTTTTAGGGCGAAAGGGGAGATGGGGGATGGGTGGGGGGGCCAGGGGGGCAGGGGTGTGCCAGGGGTGTTGTGGTAAACCCATTGAGGGCAATGTTTGCGGTCACAGAGATTTATGACCGGAAAGTTAGAAGGATGCAGGGGGAGATAGAGTTAGAGGGGTGCACTACCGGTCAAAAGTTTTAGAACGCCTACTCATTCAAGGGTTTTTCTTTATTCTTACTATTTTCTACATTGTAGAATAATAGTGAAGACATAAAAACTATGAAATAACACATATGGAATCATGTAGTAACCAAAAAAGTGTTAAACAAATACAAATATAATATATAATATATCATATTTGAGATTCTTCAAATAGCCACCCTTTGCCTTGATGACAGCTTTGCACACTCTTGGCATTCTCTCAACCAGCTTCACCTTGAATGCTTTTCCAACAGTCTTGAAGGAGTTCCCACATATGCTGAGCACGTTGGCTGCTTTTCCAACACTCTGCCGTCTTACTCAAATCCATCTCAATTTGGAGGCCAGTTCATCTGATGCAGCACTCCATCACTCTCCTTCTTGGTCAAATAGCCCTTACAAAGCAAGTCTCTTCTTCTTATTTGTGTCCTTTAGTAGTGGTTTCTTTGCAGCAATTCGACCATGAAGGCCTGATTCACACAGTCTCCTCTGAACAGTGTATGTTGAGATGTGTCTGTTACTTGAACTCTGTGAAGCATTTATTTGGCTGCAATTTCTGAGGCTGGTAACTCTAATGAACTTATCCTCTACAGCAGAGGTAACTCTGGGTCTTCCATTCCTGTGGCGACTGCACTTGAAGAAACTTTAAAAGTTCTTGAGATGTTCCGTATTCTGACCTTCATGTCGTAAAGTAATGATGGACTGTCATTTCTCTTTGCTTATTTGAGCTGTTCTTGCCATAATATGGACTTGTTCTTTTACCAAATAGGGCTATCTTCTGTATACTCAAACACATTAAGAAATTCCACAAATTAACTTTTAAGAATGCACACCTGTTAATTGAAATGCATTCCAGGTGACTGCCTCATGAAGCTGGTTGAGATAATGCCAAGAGTGTGCAAAGCTGTCATCAAGGCAAAGGGTGGCTATTTGAAGAATCTCAAAAATAAAATATATTTTGATTTGTTTAACACTTTTTTTGGTTACTACATGATTCCATATG